GTAAACAAATCGACTTTGTAACTAAGGCTGGTGCCTCCTGTTGAAGATGTTTACTATGATGCCGGTGAAAGGTCTGGGAATGTACTAAGCCAACGACCCGATGCTGGAAATCATCATAAATATTATCAGAGAGGACGCAGGACTAGATGACTCCCACAGGATCTCCCTGTCACTCCGATTATGTTGAATAAAACGAGATCATAGTAATTCCATACAGCTAAAGGAGACTTCGTCCTTACAAAAGGCTACACTATCTTGGTCTTCATATCTAAGAGTCGTTTATTTTAGTTTCAGCTTTGCAATTTTGCTTAGAAATGATCTCTAAATTTATTATCTAATTGTAGTGGACCTTCTGTAATCAGGCTTATATGATTCTCTGTAGGTTGTTTGTCCCAACAAAGAAACTATGATAGTCCCCATTTTTAGACACTTCTAGTGCCATTTTATAGAAACGCTTCATTGTATGAGCTATTCCGTTTCACTTCGATGAGGTTAATCATATATTCGTATGAAAAAACTTATTAGGGTAATGCTGTCTATGGAAGGAATAAAGCTTTCTTTTGCATTGAGTTGAGCAAATCTAATTTTATCAGTACTATTTAACAAGGGTAAGTGAAGCCTTTAGAGATTCATGCAACTAATTTTCTATTGAAGTATCAATTCGAGTAATCTCCTACGGTCAATCCTCTCATTACCTTCGATTCCATAATTCTATTGGATGATCATGTTGACAAATATTTCGCTATGCCATATGGCCAATGAGAGTCGAGCCAATCAAATGACAGCCAATTACAACAAAGTTACATCTTCTCCTGGTTTGCCCAACCATGCGAAAGGATCTGATTTACAAAATATTAACATCTTTCATCCGTTGAGTAAAAATAAGTGTCGTCTGACCTTGTCTTTCAGGATTTTAACTAGACAAAACCATTGTTCTCAGACACCGGATATATATGCAGTTTTGTAGATCAGTTCACCTAGTTAGCAGATTAGTGTGTTGCTGTGGTCCCAGGTCTCCGGCAGATGCCGAATGGTCTGGCTTAAAGCCGACCAGATCTCGACTCCAAGCCATCCATGGGCAGGATGAAGTCCAGCTTTTTGGCCGACCGGAATCTTGGCCATACACCGTCTCCCACGTCTTCACCCAGCCTGACAGACTCCGAGTCCTTAACAGCCTCTAGAGCACAAGGCCTTCCAAATGTGTCTTCCACCCCATCATTTACAATATTGGATGACAGGAAAATTGTGAAGCCTTCGAGCCAAGACTGGGACGGCTCAGCATGCAAATGCCGGTGTACATGCAAGCGGAACGAATGGCAGCAGATGAATGCCTTGACGGATGTGGCTTTTAGGAAGACACCAAAAAAGACGATCATTGGACGAGGGGTCAATCTTCTTGATGGCAAACCGACAACTCTAGCGGCAGAGCAATGCATACGGACAAACGGGCAGGAGAAAGAGGACGGGAATGAGGAGGTGGGAAAAGAGAGGAATTATTTGGAAGAATTTATGCTGGGAGAAAGTGAGATTGGGGCCAGATGGAAGCGAAGGGCCTCGATCTCGGAATTCGTACCCACGAAATGGCCAAGCGCACTTTTGGAAGCCCATTTACGAAAGCAGGTAAATTGGCATGATTGACATTTTCCTAAGAATCCAGACAACAGACAAAACTAGCGACGGCTTATTGTAGCGCTCATCGGCACATGCTAATGATGTCAGGTAATTTTGGTGCCCTACTCACATCCGATCGTCCATCTGAACTTCATTCTATTCTGTAATAAATGATACGAAGAGAAACTTGGTTTCGATGAATCTCCTGAGATAACATTGTTAGGGGGAACTTCATTTC